CAACCCTATCAAATGATTTAATATTTTTGGATAAATTAAAAAAAAATAATAATCTCAAAATATTCAAATATAAAAGAATACATCATGTGTAAAACTAAAATTATCTATAAATACATAAAAAAATATTATTTAAATATTAAATCATTTTAAAAGTGTATTTACACATTTTAAATTGAGCTATAAATTAGTATAACATGAGCCAATACTTAATTATAGAAAAGATTGATGTTTTTTTTTTTACTTAGGAAAAGTAACCAACTTCTATGAGAAATCTTAGAGACCCTCCCCCATCTTAATCAGGTTTATATGAGTTTCCTGCAGAAAGAAAATACAAATAATTGAAAGTCTTGCCTTAAAGCATTCATTCTATCTTTCCTTCCCATGGGTTTTAAAATAGTCTCCTGCATGTGTCCTAGTAATCTGTAGAGACTGAAATACTAAAATGTGCCAGTCAGTTTATTTCTAATACTTTTAACATTTTATGTTTCTTTTAATATGTAGTACATGGTCCGACTGCTCCTTAGCTTCCATAAATGTTTCTATATTATATTTTCTATATTATGTTTCATATATTAGTAGTAATAATAATATTAATAAATATGATTGTATGTGCATTGCTATTAGAATTTCTTGTATTATCTGTTTTACAATTTGCAAGTTATGTATTACCAGTGAAATATTTGTCCATGTATTGATGGTCAAAAGATAAAAACTTAATAGGTATATTTTTATGCTAACCATAAGCTTACATTTAGGTTATTATTAGGAAATGAACACTCTAAACCCCTAAATCACTTCAGCTTGTTGTGGAAGGTTAGGGGTTAGCAGTGCCCCTCACTTTATAGAAGACCAGATTGCAAGAGAGAGTCCCAATTTTCATCACCAGTATCTTCACAAATTCTAAACAGAAATACTTAATTGTTGTACCACCAAAATAAGAGTAACTTTTCTTTAAAATGTATTTATTTTTTATTATTTGAGTTCAAGTACAGTGATACAGAATTTGGTCAATATACACTTTTTATGACACAAAAAGTGTGCTTTTCAACACTGGGGATTACATGAATATTATTATTGTAGCATTTGCCTTTTTTTTACTTTAAGCTAACCAGTTTTCTTATTAATAAAATAGCTTCTGTTTTATCTTTAAAATCTCAGAATCAGGGAATTGCAGATCCAAAATAATGCTTTCGTTATATATCCTGATGTGTACAGACTTGCACAGAATATTTACACTTAATCCATTCACTACCAAGCACTTTTTGATTGATAAACAAAAATATCAACAGAACATTTATTTAAAGCAAAGGATGCATAGCTAGCATATAAACATATCATAACACAGCATTTTGTGTATAAATTGCTTTCAAGTCAACATTAACTAAATTATCTAAATGTACACAATATTTATTTTTCACTTATTCGCTCTTTCTTCATACAAATATCAGGGAAATTAACAGCTTTAGACAGTGGGCATTGTCTTTAAACTTGCAATATTTCACACATGGTCTGAAATGTTAGTATAAAATCATATCACATACAGCAGGTGACAAAAAATGGTAAATAAAAATGGCAAGATACTTTGCTTATAGGTGTTTGTAAGTACCCTGAATAATTACTAGCAGTGTAGCTTATTGGAAATGGCAACAGAATGTAAAAAGAATGTCTGCATTGGACATACAGTAAATACAACAAATACATACCGTACTGCTGAAAGCAGGGGATAAACTGTCATTTTCAGCAACTTTACATTCTTTAAATCAGTAACTAGCTGCTTTTGGCAGAGGAATTCATTCCTAAACAGGCTGGTAATCATAACTAGAGGATAAATGAGGGTGTGAGGCTTTATGGAATAACTTCTATACTGCAAAAAGCAGGAAAACAAAAAGTTTACACTCGTTTTTGGTATTTAATGGGTTAACCCCTTAATGACAGAACAAATTGCACACGTTTTGATCACAACAAAATCTAAACAAAACCTGGAATTTGCGCTATATATATGGCATGTATGGATAGTTCTACTACGGAAAAATAAAATACAACATAGTGTAATTTGTACACAATAGCCACTCTGTACGCAAGTTCCAATTGGCAACTCACTATTATGCCGTTAAAACGGAGCCTTCATAAAATCCTTGTTAGGAAACTCAGCTCCCAGGTCTTCACTTTTATTTCCACTTCAATTCCAGGGTGGTGGGACAGAAAGTAATAAAGTGCAGAGTGTAAACAAAGGAATTCTTTATTACTTACATATACATTAAAAACAGCAAATAAAGCAGGAGTATTACATATTTACATTATATATATATATATATATATATATACACTGCAGGCAGCACTGTGGGCAGCTATTGGGACCGTGTGATCGCTCTATGGGAGCAATTACATGGCCCCCGGGAGCCTGTTATGCCAGGGGATGACTGCCTGGGCTGTCAGGCAGTCCCCCTGAAGCAGATCGCCAAGAAAGTGAGTATCTTGGGCTCTCCAAGTCTGGGCTTTCTGGGATTACACTAAATGCGAGACTGCTTGGAATGCAGTAATGGCATTATGGGGTTAACATAACCATAACATAACCACTACATCAAGTTGTAGTAGTTATGGTGTTAGCATTGTCCTAGCGTGCTCCCCATTGTTTTTTTTTTTTTTAAATTCTACCAGTTGGCTGCCTCCCACCACTACCATTGATAAAAGATCCAGAAGCTCTCTGTGTCAGCTAAGCCTGGCAGTGCAGGGCTTAGCTCAGGAATTAATGGAAGCTCTTACAGTAATGGTGTGTAAGGACATGAATGCGGCCTTCACAGGTTCTCAGACAAAGAACTTATGTATGATTTGTAGGGAGTTCAAAATATAAACAACCAAAAAAAGAAAACTGCAAATAATAACAGAACAAAATTATAAAAGGTGTGTCAAACACAAATGTTATTAAAAACTCTGGCCTGCATTTTGCTAAATTCCCAAATCCAATATATTTCTTTTTTTTTTTTTCTCTGCTCACCATAGACACACTCTTCAGCACCAGTATCTGTAATCAAATCTCAACAGAAACTTTTTATTGTTTTCGTAAACTTCATAAAAATAAATGGAGTGCATTATGTGCTTGACGGACTTTCCACAACAACAAAAAAGCATGCAATTTCCACACAGGGATTTAATCCCTTTTTGTTCCACCAAATTCATTATTTTATTTTTAAGTTAAACAGCTTTCCTATGTGAGAGCCTCTATGGTATCTTTAAAATATCAGGTAAATCAAGAGAACTCCACATTCAAAATAATGTTTTAGTTATAAGGGATGTGCATGAGCAAAAAATTTGGTTCAGTTCGGAAATTCGGGTAAGTAAAAAAATTTGTCTGCTTTGGAAATTCGGACCAATGGCATTCAGTTCGGCACTTCGACAATTCAACATTTCAGAACTTTGGCAATTTGGAACTTTGGTAATTTGGACCCTAACCCTAAACTCTAACCCCTAACCCTAACCCCTAACCTTAACCCTTAACCCTATGCCCTAACCTCTAAACCCTAACCCCTAATCCTAACCTTAACCCCTATCCCTAACAACTTGTTTTGCCATTTTTCAGAAATCCGGAGCACTTTGGAACTGTGACAATTTGGAACTTCTGCAATTCAGAACATCAGCAATTCGAAACTTCAGCAATTCGGAACTTCAGCAATTCGGAACTTCGTCACTTCGGTAATTCGGCACTTCGGAACTTCAGGACTTCGGAAATTTGGCTATTCAAACTTCGGACATTCATAAGCATCTGAATGTCTGAATTGTACGAAATTTGTCCGAATATACATTCGGAACTAAACGAATTGCACATGTCTATTAGTTAAAGTCATCATTTATAAAGACTTGCATGGAGAATTTACACTTAAGCTTGTTAAGGTTATTACGTTCATGTTAGAGGTCGATGGGGGAGATTTATCAAAATGTTCTTAAGTTGGGGAAATCACAAAGGAAACCAATTGAATTAGCGGACTTATTTCATTTGCGACTTCCTCCCTTCTATGCTTGTGTGTAGAATGTCTAGTAAGACCACTTCGGAATATGCTGGGTATTTTTTCTTTGTGGTCATTTGAATTAGATGGATCACTTCCCTTCAGGATGGTTGTAGCTTCGGACATGTCCAAAAAATATGTAGAATGTTTCCCCTAGACTTTTACATATTTGTACCACTTTTCAAAACATTACACGTTGATAAATCTCCCCTCAAGACATATTGGGCAGTTTCAGTCCACCATTCTTATGCTGAATGAGTGCAACATGTGTTGTGCTAGGTGACATACTGGCATAGTGCTGCAGGAGAAAGTCAGCAGGCAGGAATTTTTCAAAGACTGAAATACCAAGCCATTATAGCGTGGATTAACATGCAAATCTTTTATGCTTGTTTGGATGGCAGCAAACACAATTATTAAAAAAGGGGTGGGATGAGTTGATATTAAGAGTTGATTTGATCACAAAACAGATCTTTTTTTCTCATGTTTATTACTTTTATAAAATTTTTGTTTCCAATGTCAGTTTAAAGAAAATGCAATTGCACGGCAGAACAGTAATACAGGAACTGGGAAATATCCGCGTCTCAGAGTATGAACATACAACATGTTAAATGACTCGTAGTTAATGGACATTGCAAACAGTGGTCTAACCAGTGCAAACGTTTTTTTTTAGAGCAATAAAAGGATGGCAAAAAAAATAACAGGGGCTGAGGGTGAGAGGGAAAGCTGGGTAGAGGGGAGAGTAGGTAAGGAGAGTCTGGCTTATTTGTGTCTTGATTGGACACTTCACTGCCAATTAGACCAGATCTTGACAAATTTTGCTAAAGTTCATGAATATGATGCAACATTTCCTCGTATTGTTTTACAAGATTGAGGCATGTTTTGATCTCATTGACGAATGGCGAGTTTTTCAATATCCACTTTTGTGCCATCTTTGCTGCTGTAAGAATAAGGAGAGTAAGAAAATTCTGAGGGCCTTCTATGCTTGTGTGTAGAATGTCTAGTAGGACCACCTCAGAATATGCTGGGTGTTTTATGTGTGTGGTCATTTGAATTAGATGGATCACTTCCCTCCAGCATGGTTGTAGCTTTGGTCATGTTCAAAATGTTGAATGTTTCCCCTAGACTGTTGACATCTCCAACATGTGTGTGGTGTTTGAGGATAGAGATGCTTTAGTGTGGCGGGTACCAGGTACCATGTTAGGATTAATTTTCTGCTAATTTCAATGTGTTTTAGGCATCAGTGCAAGATTGCCAAAAAATAACATTTGCTTCAGGTCTTTTTTCCATCATAACATGTAAGCCAGTTTCCCTCTTGGTAACGTGAACAGGAACTGAGAGTGGCTTAGAACCTGGGTAGTGGCTCAGGGCTATTCATTCAAAATCATTAATTTGTTTTTGGAGATTGAATGTTTCATAGCCTGGCTAAAGGTGTTTGGGGTTCCAGAGAAGTTGAAAGAAGGAATGGGGTTGTATGCATGTCATGAATTCTCAAACTTTCCCAGAGCGAAGCAGTCATGTGTTTGTGACTTAGGTCAGTGATTGTGCCAGAGATGTGGCTATGTAATACATTTTAAAATCTGGGATTCCTAGTGGCAAGGGAGATACTTGGTAGTTTGTGTTTCAATAAGTATCCATTAAGGAGGCTTTGATATTGTGTGATTAAGTTGCTTGATAGCAGATATTGAATCTCTGGTAGAAAGGGCATCGTTGCCAAAATAATCCTTCCAAACCATGAGGTTACTGTTTTAAACAATGTTTCTACTGATCTTTTCAGTTGATTAATAAGTGCAGAATAGTTCTTTTAAATGTCCGAATGGTGGTTCTCTCTGAGTTGTATCTCAAGGTAAGAAATAACTGTGTGTTTCGAGTCAAATTTGTAGCATGTCTGTAGGAGGGGAGTCAATGTCTGGGGCAAACCTTTTTGGAGATCTTCTGATTTATCGGCGTTGTTTTTATAATAGAATATTTTACCATGGTTGCCTAAAAGCTGTAGTAGTAATAATACAGATGTCAAGGCATTACTGAAGGAGAGTACAATATCATCAGCGAAAATGGCTTTTTTCGATTCCCCCAAAAGTTGTTGGGATGCCCATTGTTAAGACACCCCTGGCCCAGAGGAGTGAAACCGCCGCTTAGTTGAGCTTCCCCTCTTCAGTAATGCAGGTTCAATTCGTATAGACCTCAAACGCACGAACTGAAGCCAGGGGAATGCGCCAATCTCCCGAACTGTATCCGTACTAGTCCTCCAAACCCCCGAACAGTAAGCCCACGAATCGCGGCTAACAGCCGAACAGATATAATCTCCAAGCGGCTTACGTTTCCAGCAATCAGTCGCTAGCCGTGTGTAGTAAATCCCCCCAATAACGAGACCAAGCTCCGCATTGAGGGTAAAACATGAACTGGCTTTACTGTGGGCTACCCGCCTGTATTTATGCAGGTCTCCCACTTGGTGGACACTCCCCTAGGGGACCAAATGGGAGACTGTAACCAAGGACAGACATGTATCAATTTAGGACATACAGTCACAAAATATTCCCACAATGCATCCTGGCTTCCTCCCCTCTGCCCTGGAGATAATTGAGAAGTAATTCAATTATCTCCCAGGACAAAGGCAAATCGCCATTATGCACGTAGGGATGTTAGAATAGGAATTATTATTAAAATACACTATGTGACCAAAGTTACACTAAATATACACATTTAACATAGCCCCAGATAGCTCAGGTCTGAGCGCACATTATTAAGCGAATGGCGCTCAGACCACATGAATACAGTTTAATCGCCATGGAGCCAAAGTCTTTAATTCCAAGGAACGGGCTCCATGGCAGGCTATCTGGGTATTTTCCACCGAATACATTTTAATACTAAAAAGGTCCCGAACGCTTCTTTGTTCGGTTCCGAAACGGGCTGGAGACCCACCGGCTCAGCGGGGCTTTGAAGGGTGTTCTGCCGCTGGGTAGGACAAGCGCCGACGACCCGGGAGGCTTCCATAACACCGCCATCGTGTGGCGGCTAAGTGTAACCGCGACCACCCAGTAATTGTCAATTAAGCTGCGGTTAAGCGCAGATACTGGGTGGTCAATTGACTGCACATGCCAGCCTCCCGGTGGTTGCGTAATCGGTAGCCGTTCGGTAAATACGTGGGGAAACAAGGGGGGTGTACGGGCGAGGAAATAGCCGAACAAACAGACGAACGGAGGAAGATGCAATATACTGTCAAAGACAGATGGTTCTGTCACACCCATGATGTCCGAATGTTGTTTACATGATAAAACATTACCCAGGTGACCTGCTGGGAACACGGTTCGGGGGCTGCCTGACAATGAAGGCAGTCCACCTGCATCCAGTGTGGCCCTCCTAGATTGTGTGATTGCTATATAAAATACATATATATAAAATATCCAACTGCTTGCACTCCAGTAATAATAAATATAAAAACCGGTGCTTATCAGCAAAAATTATAAATTTAGCTCTTATAAACGTAGCTTTTCAGGCAACGTTGATACACTGTGGCAGTTGCCTGAATAAAAGCTAAATTTTTACAAAGTCCCTGGAGTGCTATCTTTCTACAAGACTGATATATATATATATATATATATATATATATGAAATGTTTTAGTTCTACAAAAGCTTGCAGTTTAGGGAATAAGATCCATGAACTTGTGGCAATAATGGCAACTGATAATGTAGATTTAATTGCTGTTACTGAGACATGGTTTAATGAGAAAAAATACTGTGACACAGCAAACAGGGTACTCTTTATATAGAAAAGACAAGAAAGGGGGAAGGGTGGCCCTGTATGTGAAGGATAGCATAAAATCTAGCCTAATAAAAGTTAGTGAGGTGGACATACAGTCCGTTTGCGTTACATTAGAATTTGGTAATCACACAGTAACTCGTGTAGGTGTGATTTATAGGCCCCCAGGACAAATAGAAGAGTTAGATAATCTACTAGTTGAGGAAATAGATAAAATGATAATGAAGGGGGAAGTTATTATCACGGGTGATTTTAATCTTCCTGATGTGAACTGGAAAACCAAAATAGCTGCTTGTGCCAGGAGCACACATATTATAAATTCCCTATTGGGATTGTCTCTAAAGCAAGTCGTTGAGGAGCCAACTCGTAAAGAGGCCATACTAGATTTAGTGTTAACAAATGGAGATTTGGTATCAGATATTACTGTAGGTGAACGTTTAGGATCCAGTGATCATCAGTCAGTGTGGTTTAAAATAAGAACAGTGACTGAGTCACACCACACAAAAACAAAGTTTTAGACTTTAGAAAAACAGACTTTTTTAAAATTAGAATATGTGTAAAGGAGTCATTATCCGACTTATTAAATGGAGTCCAAGAGAAATGGGATTATTTAAAAGTTGCACTCCTGAAGGCAGCAGAAAATTGCATTAGGCTTGTCAGTGAAAGCAAGAAAATTAAGAAACCACTGTGGTACTCCATAAATGTGGCCAAAATAACAACAACAAAAAAGTTAGCATTTAGTAATTATAAAAAAAAAAACAGAGTGAGGAAGTTAGACTAAGCAAGTTATAAGAGCTCCCAAATCACACACAGAAGAGAAGCACTGTAACGGTGTTGAGAGCTTTCAGCCACACTATCATCCATGTGGCAAGCTGAGACCATGCTGCTTATACTAACTGCTGAGACACACGAAGAATGCCTGGATGTTTGGGCTTATTAAGTTGATCTCCTGTGAAAAAAACAACTATACTCCAACCATACTTTAAGGACACACTTTAAGTTCCTTTGCCACAGAGGGTAATGTATATGCTGGCTCCTCAGATAAAATAAGATAATGCTAAACGCCAATTTTTAATGCTATATAATGGGAAAAAACAGAGAGAAAAGAAAATGCCCAAAAAAGCAGGAAATATAAGGGAAGAGTATTTATGTATATAAACTGATCCATTTGGTTGGTTAACCTAAACCAGTATAGGAAGATTGTGACATCAAAAATCCTCAAAATTGCCTGTTCCTGCTTTCTTTTATGTTAATAAGAGGTTAAAAGCATAAACCCAGTAAGCAAAGAATATTACATTGACTAAGTGACATAAAAATTTTAAAAATTACTTTGTCTTCATGTACTGAAGAGGCTGTATTGAAGAGGCTAATAGTAGAAAAACAGTAAATGAGAAATCTCATACTGATTAAACAATATCAAAATCTTTAAAATTTTATTTTGAGTAAGTCACATCAAAATTCTCAAAATTGCTTGTATGGGTCTGTTTTATTTGCATATCAGAGGTTAACAGCAGAAAACCAGTTACTAATCTCACCAATCAAGGGATATCAAGAATATGAAAAATGGCTTATTTCTGTTTCTGGGGTTTTTTTTGTTAGTTTTTTTCTTTTTTAAGAAATGGCGTCTAAAAGTGATAAGTTGGATAAAGCAAAACAAAACTGATAGAGCTGATTGCACTCAACATGTTTCTGATGATATGGGGAGATATCTAATTTTAATGTGTAAGATTAATGATATTACATTTACACTAATACATTTATATGCAACTTCGGATCATCCAACAATTTTTATGGATTCTACCATGCAAATAGTTGAACAGATTTCTAAGGGTATTCTTGTGTTGACAGGAGACTTAAATTGTATAGCTTGTCCACAGCTTGATAGAAAAAGATTAATTAAAAATACTAAAATTAACAAGAGAGATTTGACTCAATTGAAGGCTCTAGCAAAGTATAATATATAGATACAACCTATATGACATATGGTGAATACAACACCCTGAGGAAAGAGCTTTTTCTTTTTTTTCAAATCCTCATGATTCCTATTCCCGAATCGATATTTTTTTAATGAAAGAAACCCTTTAGACCTTTGTATCAATTCACAAATAGGAAATAGAAGTTGGTCAGACCCCGCCCCTGTGTTTATGTCTTTAAAAAATAATCCTTATTATAAGAGCCGTTCGAAATGGAGATTAAAAGATTTTATATTAACTTCTGAGTCTAATAAGAAAGAGTTATTGAATGCTGCTAAACTTTTTCTTCAAGAAAATGAGATTTCACCTTATGGTGCTCGTTGAAATGTTTTCTTAGGGGTTACTTGATTAAACAGGAAATCTATATGAAACGGAAACATTTGTTGATCTTCATATTTGCCTTGCCAGTCTGGAGAGAACAAACAAGCTACATCCTTCTCCTGAAATAGGCAGAAAAATAATAATTATTCAACAAGAG